AGTGGGAGGGAGGCCGGGAAAGAGAGAGAGAGAAATATTGATGCATCATATCAACTGGTTGCCTCCTGCATGACCCCAACTAGAGACAGGGATGAACCACAACCAAGATATGTGCCCTTGACCAGAATCGAACCTGCTACTCTTTGGTATGGGGGCCGATACTCTAACCACTGAGCCAACTGGCCAGGGCCAAACATTTTAAAAGGACCGATATCACCAGAGAAGGAGATTCCAGATGTCTCGGATAATGTCAGTGAAAATAAATGTGGTGGGCATCTGGACACACGACAGTGAACCAGATACAACAGTCCTTCGAAAGCTTGTGTTCTACTTACTACTCCAAGAACAGTTATATGGGAGGAATCATTATAGATCTAGAAATCCTGATTTGACTAAGAAAAACTTGATTTGACAGAAATAACTCAGGTTGACTTTGTGCAACTAGCCAGAAATTGGCTTGAAATGGAGACGGAGGTACAGACAGAAAGAAAAAAAAATTTTTTAAACATTCATGAATCTTTTTTATTGATTTTTAGAGAGGAAGGGAGAGGAAGAGATAGAAACATCAGTGAGAGAAAAACATTGATTGGCTGCCTCCTGCACGCCCCCCACTGGGGACCGAGCCTGCAATCCGCATGTGTCTTGACCAGGAATCAAACCAGCCACCTCTTGGTCCATGGGATGACGTTCAATTCACTGAGCTACACTGACTGGGCGTGAATTATAGTTTTAGTACATCTGAGTCTGTGCTGTGAAAAGCTAGTATCTATTATAAAAGTATTGAATTACATAAATTAATGGTTTGCAATGCTTCCTTTTGTCACAAATATTTTAATGATCTCTTTTTAACCCTGAGTATAGAGTCCTGGATAATACGAAATGCCTACACTTTGTAAAAATCTATATTATGTTCTAGCTATAAGATAAACCGAAGTAAATTGTAATATATCATGTTGAAAGGTGTAGGCTTTGCATCCAGCCTGCCAAGGTTCCATTTCTGTCTCTGGCCTTTTACAAGATACATTTTGATCCATTATTATTCTTATTGCCCCGATGGTATTAATGCCCTTATAGGGTTGTAGGGTGAGAAAAAATAATAGAGAAAAAAATGATCAAAAATAAATGAGGGAAAAAAACCTCACTTATTATTAATTGGTCAGGCTACAATTTGTTCCCATTATGAAGTGTTTGGAGTGTAAGATTATAAGATTTATATCCCAGTGTAAGCCTGCCAGGATTATATAATTTAACTGTCTGGTGATTTTAGTCAGTCATAAATACAGTCAAGTTAAGGTGAGAAAGTTTGGAAGCTAATTTGTTTTCGCATCCAAATCTGACATGTTTCCTAATTAAAGCTGGCTAGAGAAATAACTGGTGAGACATGATTGTCCTTATACGTAGAATCTAAAGAACAAAATAAACAAAATAGAAACAGACTCAGACACAGAGAACAGACTGACAGTTGTCAGAGGGGAGGGAGGTTGGGACACTGATGAAAACGCGGTAATTAACAAGCTGTACAAATTGGAAGTTACAGAACGGCCATGGAGATGTGGATCAAAGCACCGGGTGTACATAACTAGGTTGTGATAACTATGTCTGCAACCAGATGGGATACTGAAGCACGGTGCGGGGGGAGGGGGCACGCTATAAAGTATGTGATTTTCTAACCACTTTGCTGAACATCTGAAACTAATACAGAATAATATTGAATGTAAACTGTAATTGAGAAATAAATTTAGAAAAATAACTGGTAAGAGTTTGTATAACTATGTGAGCCAATCACTTTTGTCCTTATAAAATTTAATTTCCCTGTTATCCTCTAACAATGAGAACTTTATATTTTCTTGACATTTAATGAGTTCTAATGTGATCAGGGCACACTTCTACAATCATTTCTGTCTCCACATGATACTAATCGGATCCCTTCCAAAAGAGATTAGGCTATTCATGCTGTTTGTTGTCTTAAAATGTTATATTTGCCAATTACCTCATAAAATCCAGAATTAGCTTTTGTTTAAGCATTAAATATACTTCATTTCAGCACTTGAAGTTTTCAGTAAATAATAAGGTCTTCCCTTTTGTTATATTTCCCAAATTTTCCTAAATTTCATAGTAAAGTTACAAGAACTAAAATATTGAGTATAAATGAATCCATTTATAATTTATGTTCTTGTTCCCGGAAAAATACAACTCAGGAGGCTTTAAAAATTATGCAATGACTGAGGAGACAAACATATGGGGAGGACAGCTAAGGGTTGAGGTGGGAAGGAATTCTAAACATTTAGCAATAGGTAGTTTTCAATATCTCTTGGAAATACGACGTTTTCCCCTTTCATTTTGATATAACACATTCTACTAATATCTTTTCTGAAGAGGCAGCAGGTACGAGTACTGAAGTCATACTGTGTGAGGTTGAATTCTGTCTTCACTACGTTTTATACATACAATAAAAACTCTCTGATCAAAATAGGTTTTTGTTTTTAGGATTTGGCACATGTTTTTATATAGGAGAACAAACAAACAAAAACACTATACAAGTAAGATGCAAATGTTTTTAAAAACTGTAAGTGTCAGCGGGCTCCAGCTGGTGGGTGCAGGGGTCTGTGGCCTCCCCTCAGAACTCATTTGGTGTGGTGGTGGAGTAAGAAGGTATGGACTCTTAGAAATAGAGATTGTAAGTTTGCACTCTGACCTCTTCATTTTTTTTTTTTTCCTTTATTGATTTTAGAGAAAGAGGAAGGGAGAGACAGAATATCGATGACAGAACATCGACTGGCTGCCTCCTGCATGCCCCCCACTGGGGATTGGGCCCACAACCTGGGCATGTGCCCTGATGGGCCATCAAACCATCAACCTCTTGGTGCAGGGGCCACGCTCAACCACTGAGCCACACCGGCGGGACTCTTCGTTGTTATTTGACACTGAGTGAACACAGTGTTCTCCTTATTGCTGTTCTCCAAAATCTTAGTCACAGCAATTAATCCCATTGTTTCAGCTAGTAAAGCTATTACTGCTGATCCCAAAAATCTACCAATCAACATCTGCCTCCATCCCTTTCTATATACGGCAAAGCTAATACTTTTGAAAGTGAAGGCAAGGAGTGTCTGAGAATGTTGCTGGCTTACTTTCCTAGGGTCAGAATCGGCACTCGGTCCATGGGAGACGGGGCCATAAAAGAGCAATTTGCTGCAAAATTACGGCAAGGATGCGATTCCGACTCGATACTTCCCTATTCCTCTCCCGTATATCCATAATATAATCGTCGTTAAAGAAGACTCCATCTCTTTCTACACACACACACACACACACACACACACTAATGTTATTCAGTCATAAAAATAAATAAATCCATTTGCGACAACATAGAAGAAATCTAAGGGATTCATACTAAGTGAACTAAGTCAGACAGAGAAAGACAAATAGTGTGTGATCCACTTACACGTGGAATCCAAACTATAAAACAAGCTCGGAGATATTAAGAACAGATCAGCGTTTGGGGGATGGGGCGGAGGCGTTCAAAGGGTACAAACGTCCAGTTATAAGATAAATAAGTTATAGGGATGGATGTTAACGTAAAGGAAAAGACATTAGCTCACATAATCGTCTGAAGATTAAGCAGATCCCCTCATCAATGCCATAGTTTCCGATCTTTCTGAAGAAGAACACTGCAGACCTTGTAGGAGGAACATCTGTTTTCGAAACACGGATGTTGCGATTGGCAATGATATTTGGGGGACATGCGTCTTCCCGGCTCACCACCCAGGGACGGACAGCTCCGTCCTCCTCACCTGGGTCTCTGGCTTCCAGCTTCGGTGCCGGAGCACCGACAGGATCCCGTGTGGCCGAACCGAACACCTGCGCCGTCGACCCGCCTCTTGGGGCCTGACCCAGCCCAGCGGACCGCGTGCTCCACGACTGAGACCCCGTTCCCGCGCCCCCCTCCCCAGCCAGCCTTCGAGGGGGCCAGGCAGGGATCTGCCTTCGCCCCAACCCAGCGGCTCTTCCCTGGGGGTGTTAGGGAGACACCGGCACCACGGGGTGCGGAGGCACAGGGAGACGTCCACCGTGCCCGGGGCTGGGCGCTGGAAAGGCCGAGGACAAGTGCCAGCGATGCTCGACCTCTCCCCGCTCCTGGGCACAAACCACCAGGGTCCGGGCACGCAAACACCTGTGTACTTGCTGGTCTGACAGAGAAGCAGGTGCAATTCCGATTCCTTCCCAGCAGAAGGCTATTGTGCTCAGTGGCCTTTTCTGTTCTCTTTTTTTTTGGGGGGGGGGGGGGCGTGCGCCTAGCGGAACCGAACCGGGACTCTCTGGTCCGCAGGCCGAGGCGGAGTGTCCTTTTCTATCGGACACTCTCAGGGACAAGCGGCCAGGCCCTGACTGAATAGGTGTTTATCGCAGGTTTTAGATGCTTGGGCAACACTGAACACTGAGGATCCGGTGCCTTCAGCTGTTCAGCGGCCAGGTAGGTGGTCTCGGCAACTTTGGAAATCTCAGCCAACGCTGCGCCCCCCCAGACCCCCCATCGCGGCCCCGCCCCTTCAGGTCCCCCCAACCCCGCGTGCCCGCCTCCTCGCCCCGGCCCCGCCCCTCGCCCTACTGCGGTCCCGCCCTTCAGATCCCACCGCCCCGTCCCCGCCTCCTCGCCCCGGCCCCGCCCCTCGCCCCGGCCCCGCCCCCTGCTGCGGTCCAGCCCACGTCTGGCTCCTCCCCCACACGCTATAGACCCACTTCCGCCCCGAAGGCCGCGGGGGCCTCGAGTCCTGCCGCCTGTGGCGTCGTCCGAGCTGCCTGAGTGAAATGCGGCCGCCCGTGCGGCGCGTGAGAAGCCCCCAGTGCCGCACCGTCCGCACGGGCCTCTCGGGACGGAGACGCTCTGTCAGCCGCTCCTGCGACCCGGAGTCTCCGCCTCGACCAGCACCCGGGGCCGGCTCGTCAGGCAGCGCCGCGGACAGGCCCCGCAGGTCCCCGCGTCCGCCGACGTGGGCCGGGCGGCCGGGCTCGCGGCGGAAGCGGCGCCGAGGGAGTTGGCGTGTCCGCAGCCGGCTGCACCATGTAAGTGTCCGCCGCCCCTCGCCCGGCCCCAGCCCGCCCGCCCGGCCGGCCTGACGCTCCCGCTCTCTCCCGCAGGTCGAAGGTGTCCTTCAAGATCACGCTCACGTCCGACCCGCGGCTGCCCTACAAAGTGTGAGTATCCGCCGCGCGCCCGGCCGCCTGCACCCCCGCCGTCTCCGGGGCCCCCATCCCACCCGGCGGCCTGCACCCCCGCCGTCTCCGGGGCCCCCGTCCCACCCGGGCGCCCCTTCGAGGGCCCGCCCTCCGCCGCGCACCCGGCGGCCTGCACCCCCGCCGTCTCCGGGGCCCCCGTCCCGCCCGGCCGCCTGCACCCCCGCCGTCTCCGGGCCCCCCGTCCCACCCGGCCGCCTGCACCCCCGCCGTCTCCGGGGCCCCCGTCCCGCCCGGCCGCCTGCACCCCCGCCGTCTCCGGGGCCCCCCGTCCCACCCGGCCGCCTGCACCCCCGCCGTCTCCGGGGCCCCCCGTCCCACCCGGGCGGCCCTCCGAGGGCCCGCCCTCCGCCGCGCACCCGGCGGCCTGCACCCCCGCCGTCTCCGGGGTCCCCCGTCCCACCCGGCCGCCTGCACCCCCGCCGTCTCCGGGGCCCCCCGTCCCACCCGGCCGCCTGCACCCCCGCCGTCTCCGGGGCCCCCCGTCCCACCCGGCCGCCTGCACCCCCCGCCGTCTCCGGGGCCCCGTCCCGCCCGGGCGCCCCTCCGAGGGCCCGCTCTTCGCCGCGCGGGGCGGCTGCGGAGCGAACCTTGCTGTGGGGCCGGGGGGCCGGGGGGCCGGGCGCGCGGGGGGCCGGCCCCGGACAGCCCGTGGCGCCCGGCTGGAAAGGCCTCTGCGCGTCCGGACGACGCCCCGGCGCCGATCCCGAGGTCCACGTTGGTCGCGGCCACGCCGCTGGCCCTCGCGTGTGACGGATGCCCGGCCCGGCCGTCGGCGCGTCCTGAGCCCGAAATCGTAGCCTCGCGGAGCCGGGATGTAGGAAGAGGGATGAGGGGAGACGGGACACGCAGAAACGGGGCAGTTTCTTCACGCGGGGCCCTTCCTTGTCCTCGAGCAGTCAGCGTGGGTCCAGCCTGGGCCTCCGGCCCGGATCCTCCGCCTGGTCTGTTACCTGGTTGCGCTCAGCGCGGTTAAGCAGGACGCGGCTGGGGGCGCAGCGAGGGCCGGGTCCGCGATGGAACGTCCGTGTACAAAGTATCACTGAGTTGATACATAGTTGCGTCTGGACCTCCTGGAACTGTAGCAGCTGTCAGCAGTCGCTGTGATTCAGCGCTTGGCGGGCCATGTGACCTCCCGCTTTGTCCTCTGATTGGTTTATCTCCAGGGGGCTCTCCTCACCTGCTCCAGTAACTGCTCCCCTTGTAAAATGTCATTTTTTTAAGTGCTCTCTGAGGGATGGGCACATTCTCTTCTCACAGCTGACTTACTCTAACGTTTCTTCTTTAAAAATGTTTCTTTTAGGTCATGGATTAGACTGCTTTTTAAATTTTTCCTCTCCCCCATGCCTCACCCAGCTTCTTCTCCTTAGCCAGCCTAAGGCCATAGTCTGAGCGGGAGGGAGATAGTCTCTCACATCAGTGTGAGAGATGCACGGAGTGGTTGCCACCCACACGACCCCAACCAGGGCCGGGGACGAACTGCAACGGAGATACTTGACCTTAGCGGGAACCGAACCTGGGACTCTCTGGTCCACCGGCCTCCGCTCTAATCTAACCGCTTAGCCTTTAAATCACTCTCTTGCAAACAGTCCACTCTGGTATCCCCCACCCCTCCCGTGTGTTTTGTTCCAAGCACTTGGTGAGACACCAACCCTGAGCTCAGCCACTGTGTTCTCTGCACATAGCTGAAGGTACCTGGAGAACATTGCACAAGTAGGCGGATAAGTTTTACATAAAGTTAATGAGTATGTTCAGCAGTAGCCAACACTGCTACATTTCCCATGCTTGCTTATTTTCCTCTTTATTCTCTGAAAGGATGTTTAAACAGATTTATCTTCACACTTAGCACAATTCCTTTCCTTGTTTCTTTCAAGCAATCAGAGGAAAATTCTGTCGTCTTTCCATCACCTCTATAAAGCTACTGCTATATCTGTAAATCTGTCATTTCTGTCTACAGTCTTGTTGGAGTGGAAAACATCAGTGACTTTACTCGTGAAAAGCCAATTGTGCGACTTAGGCTCTGCATTCTACCTGTTTCAGTCTTCTCAATATTAAAGCAAAGTCCAAGGTCACCCTTTCTTCATTTTTTATTTCTCCCTTTATACTGGATAATTCTCATTAATATGTAAATTAGGAGGGAAAAAAAGATGGAGCAGGATGAAGAGAGAAAGGACAGGGTAGGACAGCATCAGTATCTAAGAGTGGCTGGAACATTGTACCAGTTCAGTTAATATGGGTGACTGGATGGATTTAATAGGCGTGCATGTTGTTTAGTGTGCATGTAGTTTGTGTGTGTAATCTATAAATGGGTGTGTGTGTGTATAAAATAAGCATAATTTATGTATCTATGTATGTAAACTTAATTGTGCTGTTTCCTTTTCAAAGTAAATAGGAACTAGTACTTGGGTATTACTAAAAGCAACTCTTTTAAGATACGTGGGAAAACATGCTTTAATTTATAAACATACTTTGGTAGAGAAACATCCTTTGACTTTCTAACGTTACTGATAGTTGAATTCTAGGAAGGATGTTTCAGTTCTAAATTTATTCTGGGCAATGTCAGAGTTTTCATTGGTTTGTTTTGTTTGTTGGTCTAGTCTCTGTTGGTACTGCTACTAGGTTGTAGAAATGTTGAAACCAGACATTCTCTTCTATGTAAAGGAAGAGTTGAAGACACCTTTGTCTCTTTCAGTCTGACTCAGCGTTTCCGCACTTCCCACCGCTTCTCCCTTCTCTCTGCCACCGTCCTTTACCCGAGCCTTAGCCTGGTCCCTAAACTGACAAGCTCCTCTTTTAATCCTCCCGCTCCTACACACGTTGGTTTCTCTGCGGGAGTGCAGTCCACTCCCTGGCAGACAAAACCCTTTAATACTCAAAGTTTTACCTCTGAAGATTTCTGTAACTGTCTGGGGAGTTCATTTCATCCTCCTCTAGTTTCCTATAGAAACTTTGTTCTTACTCTTTATAACAACACTCATGTCATAGTTACATTTATATATAATATATGTTTGAAAAAAAGATTTTGCCAGTAATTTATTTTAAAAATTCGCTTTTAAGCCCTGGCCGGTTTGGCTCAGTGGTTAGAGCGTTGGCCTGCGGTCCAGAGAGACCCAGGTTCGGTTCCCACTAAGGGCACGTCTCTCGGATGCAGTTTGTCCCCGGCTCTGGTTGGGTCGTGCTGGTGGCAGCCACTCGATGTGTCCCTTTCACGTCGATGTTTCTCTCTCTCTCTCTCCCTTCCTCTCTCTCCCTCCCACTCTATATGAACAAAAAATGGAAAAAATGTCCTCAGATGAGGATAAAAAAAAAATTTATAAAAATTTACATAATAGTTCCCATTTTTTTTCAAAACGACAGTATAATGTAGAAGGTTATTTTACAAATGATGTGACTGACAAACACAATTCAAACTGAGATAAAGTCTTGGGAGTCATAATAACTCCCAAGTTTCTCTGTAATTTTCTGCCACATAGAATTTGCACTAAAAAATATTTTCATTGTATGCTTTATTGAATTTTCTTTGGATAGTTTCACCAATGTAATGTACAAGTCGAAGTTTATTTTAAAGACTATCAGTATGACGTTTAGTCATGTGTCACAAAGAAGTTTCCAGTCTTCATTTAAAGAGTAAATTGAAACTCTTTAAGATTTTAGAAGTTGTCCTTTTGAGGATGAATCTCAGGATCTAAACTGAATGTAATGCAAAATAATTGCAGTTCTGCTCCTTACTTTGTAAACTCTCACATTGCCAACCTAACTAGATAGTTTTTAAACAAATGACTACCCTTTAGAATTCCCCCCTACCCCCCAGGAAAGTAAAGAAAGGTAAACACAATGATAACTATTCTTACTTTTTAGTTGTAATTTGGAGGAGTAGGATTGGGGGGCGAAGAAATCTGGTCCCGCTTACCGAAGTCATAGTAACGCACGTGTCAGACACTCAGCACCTCGTGCGCCAGGGAATGGGGTCTGCGTGGGGAAGTGCTGCGGCCTGGAAGTCGGTGTGGAAACATGAAGGGATAATGAAACGACGGAAAAGTTTCAAAGAAAAATGCTAGTTTGTCTTTTTTCCTGCTGTGAAAAAGAATCTGTTTTTCTGTCTTTAATGATTGTGATTCATTTTTACTGTAGGACTATTATATTTTTTATTTTATTTTTTGTTATCTCCTTCTATGCCTTTTAACTGTTTTTTGGGGAGGGTATATCATGATAATGTCAGGATTTATTTGTTTTTAGTTTTAGTTTTTAAATTGGAAAATTTATACATTGTCATTTATCAGCAATCTGTAATACACTTGACATTGTACAAGTCAGTAATAAAATCATTCATTACTCCAAAATGTTATTTCAGGTTGTATTAAGCCCTTTATCTAATGATGGTATCAACGTTTTGTGGGAAACAACTTTACATTTTGCTGTTTCACACTTGTCCTCTACCTGGTCTACTCGTCTAGACTTGACTATTTCCACTGTACAGAAAGGGTCGTGAAAGAGTCTCGATCCTGCGCTGCTTCCCAGAGCCCTCTCACAGTGACAGTGACCGTGACACTCCTGCCTTGAGGAGAGAGGTGTTTGCTCCATGTCTCTGAATCTGTTTTGTGTGGTAGTTTATTTTGTTCATTATATTCTACATATAAGTGAGGTCATTTGATACTGACTGGTTTATTTTACTTAGCATAGCAGACTGCCAGATCTCAGAGGGAGGGGAGGAGGAACTAGAAGAGATTAACCAGAGACTTCATATGCACATGTGCATAGCCCTAGGACACACAAATAGTGCCTGTGGGGGTGGAGTGGGGGTGGAGGGGGTCAGTGGGGGAAAAAGGGGGATGGACATCAGTAATACTTTCAACAATAAAGATAAATTTTAAGAAAAGATAAAAAGAGCCCTGGCCGGTTTGGCTCAGCGGTTAGAGCGTTGGCCTGCGGTCCGGAGAGACCCGGGTTCGGTTCCCGCTAAGGGCACGTACCTCGGTTGCAGTTTGTCCCCGGCCCTGGTTGGTCGTGCGGGTGGCAGCCACTCGATGTGTTCCTTTCACATCGATGTTTCCCTCTCTCTCTCTTCCTCTCTCTCCCTCCCACTCTATCTGTACAAGAAATGGAAAAATATCCTCGGGTGAGGATAAAAAAAAAAAAAAAAAAGAAAAGATAAAAAGATATATCACTCTGAACACAGAATGAAAAGGTGTCCGGGCAAGCAGTGGTCAAGTCTACTGAAGACGAGAGAGAGAGTCCACTTTTTGGAATTCATCTCTGGAAACAAGCAGCACCCCATGTGCTAGACCTATTTGTATCCAAATATTAAAGATATATAAACCTGCACCTGTGTAGATTGTTGCTGTTTGAGTGGAGCTGTGGGCAGCATCTCAGCTATAAGGCTAGTCGCCTATTTTTTTTTTTTTAATCTTTATTGTTGGATGTAAAATGTATTACAGATGTTCCACATTTTTCCCCCATTGACCCCCTCCTCCCCACTCCCGCCCCCCTCCCACCTTTTCCCACACTATTGTCTGTGTCCATTGGTTATGCATTTAAGTTCTTTGGTTTATTTCTCCCCACCCCAACCCCTTTCCCTTTGAGGTTTGTCAGTCTAGCAATGAATTTGTGCTTCTTAATCCCTTCACCTTTTTCACTCATTCCCCCAACCCCCTTCCCAACTGGCAACCAACAAAATGTTCTCTGTATCTGTGAGAATGTTTCTGTTCTACCTGTTCATTTTGTTTGTAGATTCCATTGTTGATAGATATGTATTCATTGCCATTTTGTTTGTTCGTACATTTTATCTTTTTCTTCAAAAAGACCCTTGATCATTTCATATAATAACGGTTTGGTAGTGATGAACTCCTTTAACTTTTTCTTGTCTGGGAAAGTTTTTATATGTCCATCGATTCTAAATGACAGCTTTGCAGGATAGAGTAATCTTGGTTGTAGGTTCTTGCTTTTCATCACTCTGAATATTTCTTGCCACTCCCTTCTGGCCTGCAAAGTTTCTGTTGAGAAATCAGCTGACAGCCTAATGGGGACTCCCTTGTATGTAACTAGCTGCTGTTTTATTTTTTAATTGAAGAGTTCAGTAATGTGCAGTCAGAATACACAGTCTTCAGACTAAAGACAGACTTGCTTAGGTGTGCTAAAATTGCTAATATGAGGAGCAAAGGGCTTTAAAAGAGCTTTTAAAACATTGTTTTTGGTTTTTCTTGCAGACTCAGTGTTCCGGAAAGTACCCCTTTCACAGCAGTTCTAAAGTTTGCAGCAGAAGAAGTAAGTGTAGACGTTGAAACAGCCTATGTAGAATGCAGATCGGCGGCGTGTCTCAATCTTTGAACTGTGCATGCACTTTTAACGCACTTCCTGTGGGTTTATTACTAGGTTAATAAAATAAAAAAATTAAGCTTTATTAACAGATATAAATAGAATGAAAGTTAAGACTTACTGACAGATACAGGAAGAATGAATTCAACAAATTGACATGTTTTCAGTGCAGCCATCTACAATTATAGGGGAATTTTTTATTGAAATTGACAAGGTTCAATGATATGTACATATAAAATTTTTTTTCTTTATTGCTTTCAGAGAGGGAGAGAGAGAGAGAGACATCGATGAGAGAGAACATGATTGGCCGCCTCCTGCACGCCCCCCCACTGAGGATGGAGCCCACAACCTGGGCGTGTGCCCTGACCAGGAATCGAACCAGTGACCTCTGGGTGTTTGGGTCGATGCTCAACCACACTGGCCGGGCCATAATTGTCTTTTAGAAGTGCCTGGTTTTTTTAAAAAAAATATGTTGGTTTTCTGTTTTTAAGAGAGAAGAATTTTCTATTCAAAATTGTCATCATTTGAAGCGACTCTTTGGACATGACAGAGAAGAGTAGCTTGGGTAGAGATGGCCCTGATGTGACCCAGGGACTCGGGTTCCTGTCGTGGACGTGTCATTCATGTCTGTGTCATTCATGTCTGTGTCATTCATGTCTGTGTCATTCATGTCTGTGTCATTCATGTCTGTGTCATTCATGTCTGTGTCATTCATGTCTGTGGCATTCATGTCTGTGGCATTCATGTCTGTGTCATTCATGTCTGTGGCATTCATGTCTGTGTCATTCATGTCTGTGTCATTCATGTCTGTGTCATTCATGTCTGTGGCATTCATGTCTGTGGCATTCATGTCTGTGGCATTCATGTCTGTGGCATTCATGTCTGTGGCATTCATGTCTGTGGCATTCATGTCTGTGTCATTCATGTCTGTGTCATTCATGTCTGTGTCATTCATGTCTGTGTCATTCATGTCTGTGTCATTCATGTCTGTGGCATTCATGTCTGTGGCATTCATGTCTGTGGCATTCATGTCTGTGTCATTCATGTCTGTGGCATTCATGTCTGTGTCATTCATGTCTGTGTCATTCATGTCTGTGTCATTCATGTCTGTGGCATTCATGTCTGTGTCATTCATGTCTGTGTCATTCATGTCTGTGTCATTCATGTCTGTGTCATTCATGTCTGTGTCATTCATGTCTGTGGCATTCATGTCTGTGGCATTCATGTCTGTGGCATTCATGTCTGTGTCATTCATGTCTGTGGCATTCATGTCTGTGTCATTCATGTCTGTGTCATTCATGTCTGTGTCATTCATGTCTGTGTCATTCATGTCTGTGTCATTCATGTCTGTGGCATTCATGTCTGTGGCATTCATGTCTGTGGCATTCATGTCTGTGTCATTCATGTCTGTGGCATTCATGTCTGTGTCATTCATGTCTGTGTCATTCATGTCTGTGGCATTCATGTCTGTGGCATTCATGTCTGTGGCATTCATGTCTGTGGCATTCATGTCTGTGTCATTCATGTCTGTGGCATTCATGTCTGTGGCACAGGCGGGCCTCTCGGTTTCTCCCTGAAAGTCTTGATCTGGAAAATGGGAATATATAGTTAATGCCTGTCCTTTCTGTCTGGTTAATTGATTTTGAATAAAAATGTAATAGGATTTACTAAAGTATACTGTAAAATTAAAAGTGCTGTACTGGTACAGAGTAACTCAAATACAAATATTTTGGTTCAGAATCTTCAGAAAAGTTGATAATTATGGAAAAATAATTTTAGTGAAATAAGAAACTAGCTTAACCTATACTCCTTTATATAAGTGTTCAATGGAAAGAAACAATTCATCAGCACTCACATCCCCTCAGAGACTATTGTCAGGACCACTGACATCACTTATCATTCAGCATTAAACCGAAAAATAGTGGTACATATTTCATAGTCAGTTTTTATCTATTTTTCATGTAGAGAGAATAAATAAAAATAAATGGGAAACAAATCGAATATAGCATAATCTTTATTTTTTGCTCCATAGATCACTTGCAAGAAATATACCTGGTCTGGGACATAGCAGATCCACAGATTCTAATTTAAGAAATTGATCTGCATTTATATATAATGCAATAATTTATTTATAACAAATATTTAATAATTTATTATTACATAATTTATACTATATATCTTTCTGTTTTGCAGTATGTGTGTTATAGGGCAGAGGCATGGATGTCATCTTGCTCTTGCATTGGATCCGAACATCCTAACACGTGCAGTAGGAAGTTAGCAAACTTCACACAGTGTACTGGTTAAAATTTTAATACAGCTTATGGTCATTGTGAGTCATGGGTGTCACACTTTAGAAAGGTTATGATTTTCCGTCAACAGAAGGCCTTTCACGTGATGACACTGTAGAATCTTTGGGAACAGGAGTTGACTTAACAAACGAAAGAGTCTATGGATTTAAGTCCCTAGTAAAATCTCTTAATAAAAACAGTAAGACAGTTTCCCGGTACATGACTGGGTTAATTTAAGTAGTGAGTTGTCAGAGCCTGAGAAGAGCCTCTTAATGTCATAAATTATAAGAGTTAAGGAATCTGAGGATGAAAATTGAGGAACATAAAGTATACTTTGCATCCAACTGAAAAATTGTTAGTAATTTGACAAAAGTAGTAGTTAATATATTTTACTTTACTAGAGATGCTTCCCCAAATTTTAGCTTAACTATTACCTTCTGGAAAAGTGGTGTCAGCAGTCGCTTTTGATTTTTAATGTTCATAAATATGTTGCCACTCTTTGGGTTTGGCTAAGAAAAAAACTTACCTTAAAATGGACATATTCTAAGAATAAGACATACTCAGTAGGGTGGCTAGAAACTTTGCAATATTCAAGTTTTGGAAATCTGACATGTCCTATAATTTGCATATTTGATCAGTTTTACAACCTCAAATTAATTTTTGAAGTTATTTTAAATTAGATTTATTTAAAATCCTTATATTTTTGAAGGAACATTAACAACTAAGAATGTACTATATAGACAGTGAAATTATTTATTAGGTACATAATTCTATAACAAGTAATTGTTCTTATGCATAATTCAATATTTATTTTAAAAAGGGACTTTTCAGTTTACAAATTAAAATAAGCTTTCAGTAGTTTTCCTCAACTATGCACATGTGACCATTATGAAACCAAGAGCAGTGTTTCCCGGAGTGTTTCCTGGAGTCTGCAGCCCCCAGGAGGAAACAGCTCCATGACAAACGGATCAGTGGCGAAGAAGTATGGGAAATACTTCGGTCACTATTTTCTTCTTGAAGTTGAATAAGCTGTATTAGCAGCATATTTAAAATTTTTAAAAAGAGCTCAACTATAATATCTTTACAACTTGTCCATTGCCTAGAAGTGCATAGTAAATATTTGTTGGAAAATTAATGAACTATGAAGACATGACTATACTATACTGCTGGTCTTTAGAGCGCGAAAATAGTTCTATCTTTTAGCTACCAATAAGTTTTATATCACATTTTATTGATTTAGAAAACACACCTTATTACAACATCCCTAAAAGTAGGTCAGTGGAGTCTTCACTACCACTGTTAGCCATGTGGCAATTGTCCTCACCTGCACATACTTGAATTCAGTTACTACTTCCTGGTGGCATAATTAGAGTATTTCCATCCGTGAGGTTTAAGTCAACAGTGCGTTAAAGGAGAATTTGAGGAAGGACTATTAGCCTCGGTTGGCCTCCCATTAAACACAGCAGAGCATTTATTTGAACTTACTATTTCTACAAAGACATTTTAGGAATGTTCTAAGCGATCTTTTTGCTTTTATTTTTGCTTATGAAAGGAAGTTGTGTATGATGAAAGCAACATGTCTAAGTCTGAAAGAGTAAACATTGCTTGGGTCATAGATTCATTGATAGTGTTGTGTGTGTGTGTGTGTTTTGTGCATTTTGCAATTCATGGTATGTTAGATACAGTGAAATGTTGTATTTAGAGGACAGTATTCTCAAAAATAAAGCAAATTACAATAACAGTGTTTTTTGTGATGTTACTTGTCCTGAAAGAAAAGTTACATTTTAGAATTATCTGTACACCGTTCTTGGTAAGCTAAGTATCTTTTATAGAGTATGTGTGTTTATAAGATTTGTTTTCTTTTTCTCCCGTTTAGTTTAAAGTTCCTGCAGCCACAAGTGCAATTATTACCAATGGTAAGAATTCATTTTAAAAGAAGTGAAATTAAATAATTTAACTTGATGGTAAAAAGCCCAAAATTTATATCAGCATTAATGATATGCATAATTGTAAATACTCAAGGTTATTGTTCATAATTAGCTTTTTTCAGATCATTTATGCTTCTTGGTATAGTTTAGCATTTGTAATATCTTATATCCTTATCACTTCTTGCCAGGTTATTACTGAAACTAACTTATTTACCAAGCTGTTCTTTTTTTTTTCAAAATAAATTATATTGATAAATGTTTTTAGATTTAGGAGTTTAGCAGGAACGCGCCGTTGCTCCACTTTGTGACGAAGTGGATGCTTCCTGATGAAGCCTGTTCCTGTGTGCTTGCAGAGCGAGGGTTTGTCCGCGAGATGTGTCAGCTAGAGTCAGCTAGCGCTATGAGAAAATACCGAAATAGCGATGAACAAAGTTGGTAGTGAGGGTGAAACCCTGTTTTTCAAGAATACAGAGTAATAATTATGGTTGCTAGTGAGTGGGTATCTGTGCAGTTAGGAGAGGCTGTGAAGATGGCTTTAGTGGTGTGGCGTAGTTTAGATATAACAGTTTCTCATTCTGAAACGTTCTGCGCGCTGTCGCACTGAAGCACTGACGTGTTTCTCCGCGCAGAAGAAAGCTAGCCCACTTTGTAGAAAGCTTTAGATTCGTGGGTACTCTGTACACGCGTATCAAGCGTCAGTGGAACTTGCATTAGACGACTGTGGGCTCCGCTGGCCTTGTGACCGTGCTGCCGGGGCAGTGACCGAGGGCGTAGCTGAGGGGTGTTCCCGGGCAGAGCATGATAGAGTTCTAGAGTTCTTTGTCGTCAGCCTTGTCAGGATTGCCGCACCGACAGATGTTCCTGTCCAATCCAGCATGTGTGTGAATGCACACTAGTCATAGGTCTCAGCAGATCATTTACCTGGAAGGCTGTCACTCATGTTCTTGGATTTAAATGGTTTGGCTTGTGCCTGTATACACAGCAGCACTGTTTTGGCCAATCTCTTATTACTAGTGAACATTTTAGCTTTAGAAAATAACAGATGGTTTTATGATTTGTATTCTAGATGGGATAGGAATAAATCCTGCCCAGACCGCTGGTGAGTATCTGTCTGAAGCTCATGGAGATGTGTGTGGGTGGGGCTGTATTTGTCAGTTGATACTAAATAATTATTTCTAATTGGACCGAGTGGGATATGACCAGAAAATAGCTGTTGTTTTAGGGATTATAGACCAGTCTTTACTTATGTGTCTGAATAATAAATTTTTTCATTATGTGCATCAGTTACGTATGCTTTTGGCTACACAAAGAAACCCAGACTAGTAAACATTAAAGATACTAACACATAACAAAAGTCTGAAGGTAAGATAGTGCTCTTATGGGAAGAACGGTTTTGACCTGCTTCCTAAGGTTGCCGCAAGGCAGCCCCCGGGAGGTGCCGCAAGGCAGCCCCCGGGAGGTGCCGCAAGGCAGCCCCGGTGAAGTGCCGCAAGGCAGCCCCCGGGAGGTGCCGCAAGGCAGCCCCGGTGAAGTGCCGCAAGGCAGCCCCCGTGGAGTGCCGCAAGGCAGCCCCCGTGGAGTGCCGCAAGGCAGCCCCCGGGAGGTGCCGCAAGGCAGCCCCCGTGGAGTGCCGCAAGGCAGCCCCCGGGAGGTGCCGCAAGGCAGCCCCCGTGGAGTGCCGCAAGGCAGCCCCCGTGGAGTGCCGCAAGGCAGCCCCCGTGGAGTGCCGCAAGGCAGCCCCCGGGAGGTGCCGCAAGGCAGCCCCGGTGAAGTGCCGCAAGGCAGCCCCCGGGAGGTGCCGCAAGGCAGCCCCCGTGGAGTGCCGCAAGGCAGCCCCCGTGGAGTGCCGCAAGGCAGCCCCCGTGGAGTGCCGCAAGGCAGCCCCCGTGGAGTGCCGCAAGGCAGCCCCGGTGAAGTGCCGCAAGGCAGCCCCCGGGAGGTGCCGCAAGGCAGCCCCCGTGGAGTGCCGCAAGGCAGCCCCGGTGAAGTGCCGCAAGGCAGCCCCGGTGAAGTGCCGCAAGGCAGCCCCCGGGAGGTGCCGCAAGGCAGCCCCGGTGGAGTGCCGCAAGGCAGCCCCCGTGGAGTGCCGCAAGGCAGCCCCGGTGAAGTGCCGCAAGGCAGCCCCGGTGAAGTGCCGCAAGGCAGCCCCCGGGAGGTGCCGCAAGGCAGCCCCGGTGGAGTGCCGCAAGGCAGCCCCCGTGGAGTGCCGCAAGGCAGCCCCGGTGAAGTGCCGCCCCTTGCTTTGCCCAGAGTGGTACCCGTTGCCCAGAGTGCGCGCTGTTGCTGGAGAGAACTGGGGAGTTTCAGGGGCTCCGCCCACTCGGGTGCGGAGCGAACACTCAGCGAGAAAGCGGCTAACCCTAAACTTCAACAGGCAGCTTTATGTTCTTAAATGTACCCTTTGGGGCCTATGTAAGATATTTTGAAATTAGCGTCTGTAATCTAGTGAACCTCAGTCTTGAGCAGTATTTATGTTTACTAAAGTACTTCTGTCTTAAACAAAACTATGTTTTCCTCATAGATCTTGGGGTTCAAATTCATATAGAAAATGAAGAGGGATTTGAAATTGTACACTTTTAAAATTTAAATCAGTTGTTTTGAGTATATTGTAAATGTTATTAAATTGGAAAAGTTATTCATTGAAAATTATGAGGCAATTTTATAGTATAGACACCTTTAAATTTAGGATTAAAGGTTTGTTCTCACTCTGGACATGCTCAGTTCACATCAGCTGAGTCCTGCCCACTGTGAACACGCGTGTCCTTGGGCACCGAGTGCGGCTCACAGCCCCGTGACTGAAGCAGACCAGGCTCCAGGCTTTTGTCACGTGTGGATGAGATTCATTGTTTTTCTGTCCTCAGACAGTTTACTGTGCACTACAGCAAGTGTTGATGGTCAGATTGACCTACATTGTGGTTTGCTGAATGTGTTAGCAGTTTTGTGGCTAATGTTCTTATTTAAAATTTGCAGACATATCGTTGGGTTGTGAGGATGAGGTGGAATAGGAACAAGGCTTAAAAAGCATGGAATTGGGTTCTGATGATGTTTGTGCTTTTGTACCTACTTACTTTATAGTACTTTGTTTTTCTTTTTTTAACAATGTTACTTATTATATATAATTGTTGATATTTTTAAACACCTAACTTTATGTTTTGTTTGTTTGTGTAGGAAATGTTTTTCTAAAGCATGGTTCCGAGCTGCGAATTATTCCTAGAGATCGTGTTGGAAGTTGTTAATATCCTCTACTTAAATTACCTTTCAAAATAAATACTGGTATTGTTGTAACACTGAAGTCAGGCATTTAAAATACTGTGAAAGCACCAATAATTGATGAAATAATGAAAGGCGACCCTGTCCCTTCTTGTCCCCACTCTTCGTGTGAGGAGGGAACGCTGTGCAGAGGCACCGCTGCTGCAGAAGCTCCTCTTCCCTCCCAGCTCAGCACGCGCAGCTCACGCACGGGGCGCAGCTCACTCCCGGGGCGCGGGGCACCAGCTGCAGCTGCGTTTATTCCTCTGAGAACATTCGGAAGATTAAATGTATTGAATATTTCTATTTGGCTTTAGGTTAAAATTTAAAAAACATTATCAATCATACATGGCAGGTTACTTGACAGGACCTGATTTGCAGAATCAAAAATAGTTGAATTCTTAATTATATGTTGTTTATGATAAGGGATACAGATACATCAATGAATACTTAACGGTCTCAACTTTTTATCATTTAAGTGTATTTTAAGTTTCAGGCTTCATGTGTTCATACAAATTTTAATTTAATCTCAAGAGCCAAAAATGGAATTTTTTATATGGCCCTGTGTAAAATTGCTGTCCCTCACCAGCGCTGTGATGGGACCCTGCGGAATCCGGCACTTGTCACGGTAGAACTGGAGACCGGGAGGTCCCTGCCAGCTGCGCACTGAGGCAGGGAGTCTCAGGAACTTTGTCTTTCTGAAGATGGTATTTCTGATCGCATTCAGGACTGAAGTCACAGCAAAGGTTAAGACGGCGCTCACGGGAAATGCTGGTTAACAATACTCACCCAACATGTAATAAGCAAGCATTAAGATTAGTGAAGTGAATAAGAAGCCAGGACAGAAGATGGGGAAGCCCAGGTGACCAGGCCTCATCGGGAGGGAAGCAGAAGAGACGCCGGAAAGCCAGCCGGGCAGGCAGACCCGAGGCTGGGCTGGGAGGGCCGCAGGGGGCCCGGACGCGCCGGAGCAGCAGAAGGCAGTCGGCAGTCGGGGAAAGCAGAGTACAGGCCCTTTCAACATACACATCTCAGAATTCCCTTTAATATTCATAACGGATGGTTTTATTGCCCTTACAGAGGAAATCGATATCTATTCAAATCTTGAGAAATGAAATGAGGGCCCGTAGTGGTTCGGAATCAGGGCTCAGGGTGCTGCTGTGTTTAGATGGCTAGCTCTCCGCCCAGGCCGTGTGTGTCCTGCTCCTTCTGGGCCGGAGATGCAGTGGGCTTTCGATGGTCCTGCTGCAGTGTGCACGAGTCAGATCTCCGACCAGTTTCCGTCTGTGTCTCAGCATCTTCCCTGTCATAGGCCTCGGTTCATTATGGAAGAAATAGGGAATGTACAATCAGCATCTGCAGTGTGCACGAGTCAGATCTCGGACCAGTTTCCGTCTGTGTCTCAGCATCTTCCCTGTCATAGGCCCTCGGTTCATTATGGAAGAAATAGGGAATGTACCAATCGGCATCTGAAGGGTGACATTGGTAGTTAAGTTTAAGAAATTAATCAGATATCGTTTATATATTTGATAAGTGAACAGCAGAATTCCGAATTTGTAAAAGGAAGAAAAAAATATTTTTGAGGTAGAAGTGTACTTCTGTTGTTTGAGAATTTTTTTTACTTTTATAAACGAAATTTGATGCTCAAACATCCCCTGGCCCTTAACAATAGTAAGCCTCATTTAACCAGAAATCTATGAATACCCATTCCCTGAGTGTTTTGTTTTAGATTTTCTACTTCTGTTTCTAGCACAAAATCTGCCTGCTTTGTTACAGAATAAGTTTATGATGGATGTCCTGTACCATAATGTAATTTGTTTGATATTTTTGGTTTTGAAAATTTTATTGTTCTTAAAGAATTAGACATTTTGTTACTAAATAAACGTGACCTGTAAGTTCTTTGTGCAGCGTGTTTTGAAGTGTTCGGTTCAGATGCGTTATTGGCTCTGTTTTATGAAGTCACTTTGTTTACCATGAAGCATATTTTCTCTCATTTTATTATTAAAGCTTTTAATTAGCACACCTGTTAAGCCAGTGAATAAGAAAAGCAAAAAAAAAAAAAAATTGGGCAAAGGTGATTAGTGGCCATAAAAAAGATTATGTATTTCCAAATGCCAGCCTTATTTCAGGGGGAAAAGAGGTGATAGTGATCGTCCAGGCTAGTCAATTCCAAGCCTGTGTGGTTATGAGTCACTTAGAGAATTGAAAATACAGATTTCTGGAAACTACCCCTGAAGTTCTGATTCATTAAATCTGGAATAATGTACAAAATCTCTGTTTATAAAAAGCCATCCTGGTGAGCTCTGCTGTGTAGCTGGGTTTCAGAATAAGTTAAATGGTTTTGCTGTTTCAGTGAACAAAATGAAGTCTGAGGAGTCAAACAGAAGAACCTAGAATATGTGGCAGAATCTTGGCAAGTATCCATTCCGCTGCTCGTTCTCTAGCTGAGTGCAAAATGCTGCCTGACACTGTTTCACTGACTTGTGTAAAGCTTCCTTTTAAAGGGTTTCAGACTTAGATTTTTTGGATATTTTGATTCTTAAAATTAATTATTTGAAAGAAAAGGCAATGGGAAGAAACTGAGTCTGTGTAAGTTCCCCTTCCCCAAATTAAGATATTAAAAGTACCTTTTACCTAAGGATCATGAAATATTTGTGACATGGAAGCATCAATATACTTTAGTGGACTAATTCTAAGTAAGCTCACTTGAATGTTCTCAAATCTATTTATAAAACTGAAAATTACATGCATAAATTATATATGTATGTGAGCATATGTTTGTGGTTTATGTATGTATGTGATTTATGTATGTAATACATGTACGAATTTTGTATAGATATGAATTGTATATATAATTCTTCCAAAATAAATGTGTTGAACATCTATGTGTCTAGTATTTTGATATATTCACTTATTCTCCATAGTAATGCCAAATTATTGTCATTTTACAGAAGAGAAAAGAGGCTTACTGTGGAAGTCTTAATACTGGGAGAACTTGCAGTGTCTTTATAGCATACTAGAACTGTATTGAATAGTAAATATAAAACAAATGTATAAGGCTTAAATCGTCATTTAAGAGTACTGCATATGTATATGTGTGAGTATGAATATGATCATGAATAGTAATAGTATTCCTTTATACACACATATTGTTGGCAATATTATAGATGTTCTCCATTTTCCCCACTTTATCCCCCTCCACCCAGCCCCTACCCCACCCCAGGGCTTGACCATACTGTTGTCTGTGTCCATGGGCTGTGACATATAAATATATAAGTTCTTGCCCTGAGCATCGGCCTGCAGACCAGGGAGTCCTGGGTTTGGTTCCCGCTAGGGGCATGTACCACTCAATAAATAAATGAAGTTCTGTTTTCTGGTACTTTGTTTTTTCTTCTATTTTTCTTTTTTGTTTTTTTAATTAATTTTTGTTACAGATGTTTCTCCTTTTCCCCCCACTGGTTCCCCCCTCCCGCTCCCTCCATGCCTTGTCCCCATTTGTTGTCCATATCCATTGTCCATGCACACATGCATATAAGTTCTGTGGTTTATCTCTCCCCCACCACCCCCTCTTGTGGGGATTGTCAGTCTGGACCTCACTTCCGGGTATCTGGGACTACCCCATTCCTCAGACTGTTACGTTCATTATATTCCACAAATAAGTGAGATCATATGATACTTGTTTTTCTCTGTTTGGCTTGTTTCACTTAGGATGATACTTTCCAGGTCCCTCCATGTAGTCTCATGGGATAAGAGATCTTTCTTTCTTACAGCTGCATAGTATTCCTTTGTGTATATGTACCACAGCTTTTTCATCCATTCATCTACTGATGGACACTTGTGCTGTTTCCAGATCTTAACTATTGTAAATAGTGCTCCTACAAACATGGGGGTACATATATTCTTTCTGATTGGTGTTTCAGGCTTCTTAGGGTATATTCCTAGAAGCGGGATCACTGGGTCAAATGGAAGTTCACTTTTTAATTTTTTGAGGAAACACCATATTGTTTTCCATAGTGGCTGCACCAGTCTGCATTCCCACCAGCAGTGTACTAGAGTCCCCTTTTCTCCACACCCTCACCAACACTTGTTGTTTGATGATTTGTTGATGGCGGCCATTCTGACAGGTGTGAGGTGATACCTAATTGTTTTAATTTGTGTCTATCTGGTGATTAGTGATATTGATCATTTCTTATATGTCTCTTAGTTATTTGTATGTCCTGTTTGTAGAGGTGTCTATTCAGCTCCTGTGCCCATTTTATAATTGGGTTCTTTGTCTTCCTTTTGTTGAGTTGTATGAGTACTCTATATATTTTGGAAATTAACCCCTTATCTTATGTATCATTGGCAATGATGTTCTCTCATACAGTGGGTTGCCTTTCCATTTTGATGGTGGTTTCTTTTGCTGTGCAGAAGCTTTTTAGTTTGATGTAGTCCCATGTGTTCATTTTTTCCTTTGTTTCTGTTGCCTTTGGTGATGTATCAGTGAAAATTCTGCTGTGTATGATGTTCGAAAGTTTGTTGCCTACATTTTCTTCTAAAATTTTTATGGATTCACGGGTCATATTTAAGTGTTCTATCCATTTTGAGTTTATTTTTATGTATGGTGTAATTTGATGGGCTAGTTTCAGTTTTTTGCATATAGCTGTCCAATTTTCCCAACACCATTTATTAAACAGGCTGTCTTTACTCCATTTTATGCTTTTGCCTCCTTGTCAAGTATTAATTGGGCATAGTGTCTTGGGTCCATTTCTGGGTTTTCAGTTCTGTTCCACTGGTCTATATGCCTGTTCTTGTGCCAGTACCAGGCTGTTTTGATTACAGTCACTTTGTAGTATATCTGCTACCTAGTATTGGGATCCCACCTACTTTGTCCTTCTTTTTCAAGATTGCTGTGGCTATTTGGGATCTTTTTTGGTTAGATATGAACTTTTGAAGTATTTGTTCTAGTTCTGTGAAATATGTCATTGATATTTTGATGGGGATTGCATTGAATCTGTACATTGCTTTGGGTAATATGTACATTTTAATTATGGTAATTCTTCCAATCCATGAACAAGGTATATGCTTCCACTTTTTTAAATCTTCCTCTATTTATTTATTTTTTTCAATTACCTGAAGTTTCCTGCAAATAGATCCTTTATTTCTTTGGTTAAGTTTATTCCTAGGTATCTTAATTATTTTACGACAATGGTAAATGGGATTGTTTTTTCAGTTTCTCTTTCTGTGAGATCATCATTGGTGTATAAGAATACTATCTATTTCTTGATGTTAATTTCGTATCCTGCTACTTTGCCAAATTCATTTATTAAGTCGAGTAGATTTTTGATGGCTTCTCTAGGGTTTTCTATGTATAATATGTCATCTGCAAATAATGACAGTTTTACTTCCTCCTTTACAGTTTGTATCCCTTTTATTTTTCCTTCATGTCTGATTGCTGTGGCTATGAATTCCAGTACTATGTTAAGTAAGAGTGGCGAAAGTAGGCATCCCTGTCTTGTTCCTGTTCTTAAGGGAAATTATTTTAGTTTCTGCCCATTGAGTATGATGTTGGCTGTAGGTCTTTCAGATATGGCCTTTATTATGTTGAGATATGATCCCTCTATTCCCACATTGCTGAGTGTTTTTATCAGAAATGGACGCTGGATTTTGTCGAATGCTTTTTCAGCATCTATTGATAAGATCATGTGGTTTTCATTCTTCATTTTGTTTATGTGGTGTATCACATTTATTGATTTGCAAATATTGTACCAGCCTTGCATCCCTGGAACGAATCCCACTTGGTCATGGTGAATAATTTTTTTGATGTTTTGCTAGATTCGATTTGCTAGTATTTTGTTCAGGATTTTGGCGTCTATGTTCATCAGTGATATTGGCCTGTAGTTTTCTTTCTTTGTAGTGTCGTTTTTTGGTTTTGGAATTAGAATTATGCTGGCCTCATAAAATGAGTTTGGAAGTCTTCCTTCTTCTTGAATTTTTTGATATAGTTTGAGGAGAATAATTGTTCTTTTTTGAATGTTCGGTAAAACTACCCTGTCAAGCCATCCGGGCCTGAGCTTTTGTTTGCTGGGAGAGTCTTGATTACCTCTTCAATTTCCTTAGTTGTTATTGGTCTGTTCAAGTTTTCTGTCTCTTCCAGGTCCAGTTTTGGGAGACAGTGTGTTTCTAGAAATTTGTGCATTTTGCTTAGATTGTCGAATATGTTGCCATATAATAGTTCATAGTAGTTGTTAATGATACTTTGTATTTCTATGGTGTCAGTTAATACTTTTCTTTCAATTCTAATTTTGTGTATTTGGGTTCTCTCTCTTTGTTTCTTGGTGAGTCTCGCTAAGGGTCCATCAATCTTGTTGATCTTTTTGAAAAACCAGCTCTTTGTTTCATTGATCCTTTGAATTTTTTTTTTTTTTTGTGGACTCTATGTCGTTTATTTCTGCTCTGATCTTTACTATTTCCTTCCTTCTCCTTGCTCTGGGGTTTTCTTTTTGTTTGCTCTCTAATTCTTTAAGTTGTAAGATTAGATAGTCTATTAGAGATGTTTCTTGTTTTTTGAGGTAGGCCTATACTGCTATGAACTTCCCTCTCAGAACTGCTTTTGCTGCATCGCATAGATTATGTGTTGTGTGTTCATTTTCATTGGTTGCCAGGATGTTTTTAATTCTTCCTTGACCTCCAAGGTAACCCATTCATTGTTTAATAACATGTTAGTTAGCCTCCGTGTATTCAAATGTTTGCATGTTTTTGTTGCAATTTTTTCTGGTGACATGCCATTGTGATCTGAGAAGATACTTGATATGATTTCAGTCTTCTTGAACTTGTAGAGATTTAGTTTGTGTCCTATCATGTGGTCTATCTTTGAGAATGTCCCATGTGCACTTGAGAAGAATGTGAATTTTGTAGTTTGGGGTGTAATTCTCTGTAGATATCTGTTAAATTCATTTGGTCTAGTTCTTCATTTAGAGTCTCTGTTTCCTTGCTAAATCTTGGTCTAGAGGATCTAACCAGTGATATCAGCAGGGTGTTGAAGTCCCCTGCTATGATTGTATTGCTGTCTATTTTTCATTTGAAGTCCTCCAGAAGATTTTTAATATATTTGGGTGCTTCTGTATTGGGTGCATATATGTTCATAAAGGTTATATCTTCCTGTCGGATGGATCCTTTCAATATAATGTGGTGGCCTTGTTTGTCTCTAGTTATGGCCTTCATTTTTAAATCTATTTTATCAGATATGAATATTGCTACCCTAGCTTTTTTTTTGCTTTTCATTTGCTTGGAAGATTTTTTTCCATCTCTTCACTTTCAACCTATGTGAGTCTTTTGTTGTGAGGTGGGTTTTTTTGTAAACAACATACAGATTAGCCATGCTTTCTCATCCAATCAGCTACTCTGTGTCTTTTTAATGGAGCATTCAGTCCATTTACCTTTATCGATATGTACTTATTTATTGCCATTTTTGTTTAGTTTAGTTATATTTTTCTTCAGTCCTGTTAACATTTCTCGCAGTGCTGGTTTAATGCTAATGTATTCCCTTTGTCTTTTTTGTGTGGTAAGCTCTTTATTTGACCTTCTATTTTGAATGATAGCCTTGCTGGGTAGAGTAGTCTTGGATTCAGATCCTTGTTTTTCATGACCTTGATTACGTCATGCCATTCCCTTCTGGCCTGTAGTATTTCTGTTGAGAAGTCAGCTGAGAGCCTTATGGGATTTCCTTTGTAGGTAACCTGTTGCTTATCTCTTTCTGC